CAATATAGTAGTAAGGCCAAAAAGTCAGATGGCTGTCAATCGGCCATCTTTGACCAGATTTTGAAACAAATTGTCATGGACATGCATCCTAACATGTATAAAGTACATGTATGTGCCAAATTTGAAAGAAAACTGACAGAGCACGTCCAAGATACCGCATAAAAAAACAAAAACAAGATGCCTGCCAGTCGACCATCTTTGATCCAATTGCGAAATAAATTGTCATGGACATGTATAATCTATGTACCAAGTTTGAATGACAACTGACAAAGCATGTCCAAAATACAACATTTTCAAAAAACAAGATGGCTGCCAGTCGGCCATTTTGAATCGAATCGCTAAACCACTGCATGTGCATATGTCCCACCATAAGGTACTAGACACATGCAAAGAATGAACGGAATCGGTCCAAAGGATTCTGAAATATGACGTTGGATAGACTGGCGCACGGACGGTCGGACGAACAGACTCAGGAACTCACGGACGGTCGGGGACATGTATCCTAACATGTATGATCTATGTACTAAATTTGAATGAAAACTGACAAAGCATGTCCAAAATACGGCATTTTCAAAAAACAAGATGGCTGCCAGTCGGCCATTTTGAATCGAATCGCTAAACCACTGCATGTACATATGTCCCACATGAAGTACTAGGCACATGCAAAGAATGAACGGAATCGGTCCAAGGGATTCTGAGACATGACTCCGGACGCACGGACGGGCGGGCGGAGACCAAATTATAAGTCCCTGTTTTCGGACTTTGTCCGAACGGGGACTAACAATCAAATTAACAATAGGGATTGGGTCGTGAGCATTGTCTATGATCATAATGTATACACATGTTCTCATATGACATGTAGCAACTATGATCACCCACATATTAAAAATTTGTTGTGATTGGATAATGTTGAACTATCTAATAAAGATTAACTAGAACAAAATTTTCGTCACAATACCATTTCCGGATTGGTCAATTTCTAGGTGAATGTGTGATTTAAGACTGCTGTCACTTTCAATTCCAATTGTATATATTACCCGTAACTACATCTGAATAAGTCATCTTCAGGTCTTGCATGACCAGCAACCAATCAGAACGTGTGTAACAGACTGCTTCCTTGTAAGGCACACTCTAATTGGTTGGCAAATTCCATCAAGAAAGAAACTTTCTGAACGTGATTTGCATAGCAATTGGAGTTCAATCTTACCAGAGAGAAAGAAGCCTGTATTGTGAGAGTTGATGAACATGTGTGACTGAAAGCGACTTGCATAGTTGGTCAGAAGTAGTTTCATAATTCAGCCATTACCTGGTCATACTTGCTCCAATCACATGTCAGCACCTCAGCGTTACCCGTTGCTATGACGAGATTAGCCATTTGTGGTTTCTTGATATCCCATACCCTGACAGTACGATCACCTTTAATGAGAAATATACATTAAAACTGAAGAGGGCGCTCAAAAATCATATTCGAATAAATGATATGCATGATATGTTTTGGAAACAACTATGATTTTAATAATGTCATGACCATTTGAATTCCAAAGGGATGACTTTTCTTAACATTTTCCACATTTGTATGTACTTGTTATTTTTTGATTAATTTTGAAAAAATAATGTGAGTATACAAAGCTAAATAAACTATTTTATTCACTGAAATATAATTATGGATAACGAACCTGATGTTGATGCAAAGCACATTGGGATATGTGGTGACCATATTGCGCTGTAGACCACATGTTCATGTCCCAGAAACGTTGATAATGATTGGTGACCTGAGGGGTCCCACTGAAAATACAAATTGACCATTAATTAATTAAAACTATTTGAATGGGTAAAGAATTATGTATTCAAATTTAATCATGCAGTAAATTACATACAAATATAATTTAGTTTATTCTGCAGAACTTACAGAGCTTTGTATACAATTCCCCCAGCACAAAGTTTGCAAAATTAGGTATGAATTATTATCTGTTTAGACAAGAAATCTAAATTGGATTTCCTATGCTGAATAAGATTGAACCTCACCAATTTGATTGACTTGTCCCATGATGCAGACAGAATGAAATGCTGGTCTCTTGTTTGACTCCAGTCAATTCCATATACCTGGAGAACAAAATGAAAATATCATACTTGACTGACAAAATATGGCAATTTGTGCTTGAGTACAAGATTATTTTATCTGTGTGAATACTTCACGCGCGAGTGTAATGTGTATACTAAAATCTGGTCACAATCTGTCCCTTTTATACACTTGGAGTCGCAATTTAAAAGGCTGTGGTCGTCGTGCCGCGTCCTGTTCGATATGGGACTCATAGTGACATACACAACGCGTGTAAAATACATTGTTTGTTTACATGAAATTCTAAGACTCGCTGTGCGACAACCACTGCCCTTTAACAAAAACCTGTTGAAATTTGTTGAATAGCATACAAATAGCAAAGGATGTTTTTTCTCCCTTTTTGAAGTATATGTATATTATAAAGTTATTACGAGAATACCTCAAAGTATGCACGAAGACAGTACAGCGGCAGTATCGACCAACACGCAACGGAGTGCATACTTTGAGGTATCCTCGTAATAACCTTATTATTATACATCTTTTCCTTCCAAGGATACACCATGGGAATGCCATAATTCAAAATATTAGAACAGAATCAGCGAACTTCTTTGTGCTGAATCCGGTCAATCTCTGGTGGCAGCTATGTTGGTTTTTATTATAAGAGGACGCTTACGTGCGTAATCATTCCCTATTTGGAATTCACATTTCTTAATATGGTAGGATGAAAATACCCTGTAAAATACCGCAAAATTACGGCATGATGTGACAGATGTATAATAATATCAAGTAATCATACATGAATTCCGAGAGATCTCCAAGGGCAACTTTGAAGGAAATCTAATTCATGTATACATGAAAAAAACTGACAATTTAAACAATCTTTAAAATGGTTATAAAATAAACACTGGCATGCACTCAGTAATGCAGCAATAACACTCAATACTCTTACCTCTTTGGTATGTTCTTTCAGCACTTTGATTGGTCCCTAATAAAAACACAATCATTTTTCAGTCAACAGTGAATCATTCAATCATTAAAGAAAGATACAAGTAATTTGATTTAAATATTTAATTTTACTTAAATATAATAATTTTATTGAAATTTCTGAAGTCCCATATTGCCAATAACTGTAAAACAAGAAATTCTGACTTTACAGATGGTCATGAAATAAACATTCAAAAGTTTTAAGGCTATTTTTACACGAGGTGATTCTTGGGGCACAAGCCAAAGCATCAGCAATAACATGTACACAAGGCAATGACTAGTTTCCTGAATGACAAATTTCAAGTGTTGTTATCTGAATCATCTCTTCTATTTGTATACCTACCAATTTTTAATCAAATCTGTCAAAAAATGTAGGTAGCTAGATTTTATAGGCAGAAATTGTTTCTAACCCATGAGTTCCATGGACAAACAAACAAATCCGACTTATTGTTTCTATTTTCACATCTGGCACAATTAAACTCACACCAAAAAAAAAAAAAAAAAAATCATCGAAGCATGTTCAGTAAATACTGTAAAAGAGCAAATTATTCACGGGGTTTTAATTTTGCTTATTTCGCTGACTGGAAAATGCGCTAAATTAAAACCCAGTGAATATGCAAAATTGAGCGTAGAACACGTTATCTGAATGATAAAACCATGAATTTGAAACCCATTGAATATGCCTGAAATGCTTAATCAGTGAAACTTAAACCCAGTGAAAATTAGTGATTTTACAGTACTCAATCAAATTTACTCACCATAAAATTACATTGTTAGTGTGGTGCACATCAGAGACATTTGAAATTGGTACATCTATACATGTACCTATTAGAGAACTATACTGCATTAGGACATAGCTACTTTATGCTGTACCTTTGGTTGTAAAATGTCCCAGAACTGTATACTACCATCACCACTAGCAGTGACTGCTAAGTTTTCATTATTCTCACACCACGTCACGTCAAACAGTCCATCATTCCAATCAAAGCTAAATATATAAAAAATGTACACATTAAAATGTCAATACAATAACTTAAATAAATACAAATCTATTCGGGTCTTTTTTATCTCTTTTCGATCAAAATTTACCACAATGAGAATTTTATGATGATCAATATATCGATCTTTGCAATTCCAATGTCAATTAAATCACAATGAAAAATTTATTCTTAGTGTGAATAAATGATTTGTAGCTTTCAAGTCACTTTTTATTCGCTTATGTTAAAAACTGCAGGTCTGCTTGAAGTTCGTGCATGACACCTGGAACACCATGTGGACCCAAATTCGTACAAACCGACTGCAAATTTCCATGAGTTCACTGCACTATAAGTCGAATGTTCACCAGCAAACACTTTGTGTAAAATGAATACTGGAGGATTTACTTTTTTTCACTTTTTTATAAAAACCAACTATGAACAAGGACAACAAAATGATGAATAAATTATGATGTATTATGTATTCCAAAACAATACCACAAGACACAAAAACCAACGAATAGTCTATTATTATTTAATAATGAATGCAGACACAACTGAAACTCCAGTTTCTATTCAGGGAAATATGCTATATTTGAATTGCAATAAAAAAGAAAGTATTCAGTAGTTTACTGCTGATGGCGCTGTTGTAGAGCATACAAGCAAAGGTCAATTCTTTTGAACATTACACTCAGTCTTTCTGATGCAAACTCTGTTTTCATTTCACTTTACAATTTAAATATCAAAACTTTATTCGCGATCAACCCAATTTAGAAATAGCTGTTAAAATGCAGAGAAATTTTAAAAATCTATTGAGGGAAACAACTTAGCCCTAAGATATCTTGCCTGTATCAAGTATGAAAAAGGACTCAACTGGGACTGCATTGTGTACAAAATATTTATTTAGGGTTTGTTCCTGTCATTTATTTTACGATCTAGTTCAACAATGGTTAAAAAAGCTAAATAATCAGCATCGATCTTATCTGATTATAAAACCAAAATAATTTCATTGGTGCTGAAAAAATCTAGTGACGTCAGTGGTTAGATGACAATAATTAAAATTGAGAGTCAAAACATTGTCCATGTCAACTTATCACATAGGAAAGTGATTGGTGCAGTTGGGTGTCAATCTGATCCTCGACATCCTCTGTATTGTATTTTTTTGTTAGAAATGCACATATATTGTCTTTTTGTGTTTTAGTGTTCTGAACTCAAAGTTTGTAGGCATTTAGGCTTAATTGCTTCAAGTTTGTTCACCTTCATATTCATCAACAGTTTAGTGGGCCATGTGGTGATGATTTTGACCCTCAGTGACTTAGAAAACATTCCTGTGAAACGCTAATTTGAATATTATCTGTACATGTACTTTTCCTGCACATATATGTTCACTAAAAATTATCGATAACAGATTTTCCCTCTACCTTTGAGTTTCGTCTGAGATATAAATTTGGGGCATTGTAGGAATAAGAATTTATTTATAGCAGTTGTATGGTCAGTCTTAACAACTTGAATACTGATGACTGGTACATGATTTACTAACCTGCGATATGGAAATAATTTTCTATCTGGCGTAATGTCCAGTATAAACAATGTACCACAACCTGTGAATGCAAAAAATTTAAAATCTTTGACAATTGCCGTTAATTAAAGAGTTAAAATTAATTCCCATTTATTATTTACCCAGAGATATTCCCAAGCTTCAATAAAATTTGAAATCTCTTGTAATTCAGCTGTTCTAATCAAGTGACCAAGAGACTGTGGTTTTTAGCACCTTTCCAGCGCTGCCACGCGTGGACTTGTTATTGTTTTCTTTATATTTGCCATGATATAAAATTTACTAGGAATTATTGGGTTATTTATTTTTGTTTTAAAATCTGGATTAATATTTGTATGTATATATTGTAGCCGTGATTTCGCGGCGTTTTGGG